TTATGTGCAGATGCAAGAGGGAAGCAGAACCGTGTTTGTCCGCTCTTCACTGATCTACGTTCTTGACTCGCAGTACCACAGGCACAGAGGTGCAGGGGATCATGCCCAAGTCAGTGATTACAAGGTCCACAAAGTCCGGTGGCGTCACGTCATACACCAAGTTCAGAAGCCCCAGTGATTTAACAGTCTGCCAGTTCTCTAGGTGGGTCTTTCCATTTCTGGTAACAATCAGGTCATCAGGGTCATCTGTAAAAAAATTACAAATAAAATGTTATGTTTATTTTTGTGTGTGTAAATACCTATATATGTCACTTATAAAATAAAATAATAGTAAATTCACCAAACAAGCTAAACATCACAGAGTTACCTAATTCATTGGATACAAAAGAGTCCGTCTGCACTCGTTCACAGAACTTGTAGGTCTCACAGCAGACCAGCACTGGTACATTGTAGGCTTTTGCTACCAGGGCAATTTGGGAAGTTCCCACACGTGACATCACATATCCATTAGCAAGGAGTGCATGGGCACCAAGAAATACCTTGGATACCTGGAAATAAGAGTGCAGAGTCCAGGTTCTGATTCAGCATTCAGATAACAATGTTTTTAATGGCAACATAAAGGCCAGTTAACTTTAGTGCAATCACACTACCGTTCAAATGTTTTTTTTCTGGAAGGAAATTAATACTTTTATTCAGCATTATATTGATCAAAAGTGACAGTAAAGACATTTATCATAGATTTCTATTTGAAAAATGCTGTTCTTTTGAACTATTCATCCTGAAACACAAAAATGAAGGATCATGTGACACTGAAAATTGGGAGTAATGACTTCTGAAATTTCAGCTTTGCCATCACAGGAATAAATTACACATTTTGAAATATATTAAAATAGAACAGACATTTTAAATTGTAATATTACTCCACATTGCTGTTTTACTGTATGTTCGATGAGGCTTTTTCAAAAACATAAAAACAAATCTTAGTGATCCCAACCTTTTGAACAGTAGTGCATACTATAATTTAACACAACAATCTAAACATTCAGAACCTTGCAGTGCCATATAATCATTTGAAATAACACTGTAATTGCCATCTAAGAATGTCCGAAATAAATGTGTACGTGTATAAAGTGCATAAACTCTTAGTGTTCTTAAAGAAAGTGGTTCAATTTGGTAGAGACTGATAAAACCAAGCAGTTATCTTTTACATTTTGAAATATATTAAAATAGAACAGACATTTTAAATTGTAATATTACTCCACATTGCTGTTTTACTGTATGTTCGATGAGGCTTTTTCAAAAACATAAAAACAAATCTTAGTGATCCCAACCTTTTGAACAGTAGTGCATACTATAATTTAACACAACAATCTAAACATTCAGAACCTTGCAGTGCCATATAATCATTTGAAATAACACTGTAATTGCCATCTAAGAATGTCCGAAATAAATGTGTACGTGTATAAAGTGCATAAACTCTTAGTGTTCTTAAAGAAAGTGGTTCAATTTGGTAGAGACTGATAAAACCAAGCAGTTACCTTTGTTCTATTAGCACCACTTCAGTTGCTACTGTGTATTGTTAAGAACGAAAGTACCAAACCATAATTAAGCTGTATTTTTAGCTACTGCTAATGTCACTCACATAATCAATCCTTTGAAGGTACATGCACTTTGGTATGAAATCACCTTACCTCACAATGAGCTAAAAATAAAAAGTGCTGGCAAAAAGCTTTACTGAAAAGAATGACTCACTTCAGGCAGAATGTAGGACAAGGCAGATATGAGCACGTAAGTACATCGGATGCCTTTCTTCACCAGACGCCTCAGCGTCTCTCTGCCCTCCAGTCTGGGCCGACTGTCCACAACTATGACTCTGAACTTCCTCTGCTTTTCAAAAGCTTCGCACAGAATGTGGTTGACAAGTGAAGAGCTGGAAAAACACAATAAAGGCACTTCTGAAACACTTCTGAACGAATCCAGACTATTACAGAATTACATCAATTAACTGAAAAATCTTACCAGCCATAAACAAGAATGACATCTCCATTACTTATCTTCTCAATAGCATACTTAGAAATGGCTTCAGAAGCCAAAATTATCTTCTCATTTATGTAACTATCAATACATGCCTGCAGTTTCCCTTTGGCCTGTTGAGAAAACATTGCTTTTAGAAATTCACAGGAAGAATACGGTTACTGTATATTAATGTCTCTAAACTAGTAGTCTCGCGTAGCCAGACCTTCAGACTGACGGCTGAAGGTCTGGAATCCATGGCAGTTTACATTGGCCTAGGCCCGCCCATGAGGCCGTTTGACCGACATGCAGGGTGCGAACTACGAGGGAGTTGAGATGTAAGGTAATTTGCTTTCATAAATATTGTAGATGAAGCTGAATGAAACAGTATCCAAACACTTTCTCCAAAGTTTAGGTTCTGGCCGGTCTCAGAACAGTCCGAAGACACATTCTTGAAATCAAGTTTTTAACTTTACAGTCCATCTCACAAACACTTTCTACTTTTGAGAATCCAGCGTTTAGTTGATCCTGATAAGCGCTCGTCATCACGGTTGTAAACACGATGGCTTTCTTATTTCGTGAGGGGGTTTGGCAGCATGGCAGC